AGAGAGAGAGAGAGAGAGAGAGAGAGAGACCTTTCCAATAGCATGGATGTCTTAGCAGCAAACCATATTCTTTCTGAAACATTAAACCAGTGGATCAGAGCTACTTTGATGAGTGAGAAGTGCCTAAGACTTAGAGGAGCAGGTTTTTTTTTCTTTTCTGGCAGATCGGCCGAGGCGCCTCTGCTCCTTTTAATCCACTTTATCAGCTTAAATGTCTCCTGAAAAATTACCTTTTGTTAAAACCATCAGATTATTTGTTTCATTATCCCGTCCAACTTGACGGAATATTGAGTGTGATTTAAATTCTGTGTGGGAACTGAACACGTCCTGCTCTTATCTCGGTTGAACACGCCACTTATGGAATGAACAGCAGGTTAACCACGGCATCTCCAGGATGCATCGCCCCCTCCTTCGCTTGTCTTCTATTTTGCAGCCACTGTGCTGCGCTTCAGTTTGTTTTATGTGCCAAGATAACATGTGTTTTGGTTTTTATGGGGCGATTAAGCTTGCTGGTTACTCTGAATTACAGATCTCCTCCCTGTCAGTGAACGACCACCTCCATCATGTCCTCTATTTTCCCCTCTCCCCTGTCGCAGGCAGAGATTTCCTCTGTGTTTTTGTCTCTCCCTTTTTCATTATTTCCTTTCTATTACCAGTCTTTGTCTCTGCCAATCGTCCCGTATGCTCCCGCCCACTCTCGATCTCCAGCTCCCCTTTTACTCTGCAGTAAAAGCGTCCAGTCCGGTTTTTGAAAAGATTAAAACTATCCCTCTCTCTCTCTCTCCTCCCTCCCTGCCTCACTCTCTCCTACCTCGCACTCCCTCCATCACCCTCTGAATGCTTAAGAGAAATGCTACACTGAACATTTCCCTTGCTGCAGAGCAACAGAGGGGAACAGCCAACCTGTGTTTTAGCGTCTGCCGACTGCTGCACATGAACCTCCAGACCCTCCGAGCAGCCGGACCCGGACTACAGGCTTTTCTTTTCTCTTTGTTGTTTTTTTTTTTTGCACATGCTAATCAAGAACCATGCTGGAGAGACTACAGTCTGCTTTGAAAACTGTGAAGGAGTCTAAACGTAATGATCCGCTCTGCTTTTGTGCCTTCATCAGCAATGGAGAGGGTTTTTGGTGCATGTGGCTTTGCGCGGCGGTGGGAGCTGTGGGATTCTGGGCTGCTCTGTAAAGTTTGCGTGGTCAGACGTGCTAGCAGTGGGAAAGTTAGATCCACGAGCTGACGTGTTTTTATATGTTCTTGATGCCTGATAGCGCTGATGCCACGGGAGGTAACGTTTGGGACGTGGCTCTTTTCCAAGTTGCGCGGCTGCCCGATTCCAGGCAGCAATTAACTGGAGGGATTTGAGCAAATGACCCCGATGTGCTGATGAGGAAGTACTAAGTGTATTAGGGATGTCAGTAAGACAATTACTCGGTGAATGCATTGGGTTTAACAGCTGTTTGCTGGTGCTATTTGCAAATACGCGACTCCACTGGAGATCCGCTGATGACCTCTCTCCGGTTTCTTGTTCGGCGTGTGCGGGCCGCCGTGGCGATGTCTGCGTCTCCTGCTTTGCCACAGATGCAGAGGGAGATTTTTATGATGGCAGCTGGGAGCAGGGGAGGGGGGGGGCAGCCTCTCCTGAGCGGTGAGCGGTGCAGCGTGTCAGAGGCTGGCTGGCTGCTGGCTGCTGGGCATGCATACCGCAGAGGGATTACTGTGGACAGGAGAACACACAGAGCCAGGGGAAAAGACACCGCAGCATAAAGCGCTCCATTTGGATGCAGCTGTGCCTAGTTTCAGTCTATCTGTCTGTGCATCTGGAGCCGAGCACGTCGGTCCCAATCTCCGCGCGTGCGAGTCCCCGTGCATGCGAGTCTGCACAATGTGGCCTCGTGCGTGCGTATTCATAGGTTTGTTGATGTATTATGCATGATAAGAAGACTATATCCAAAGCTGCCTTGGCTTTGATTTGACCTGATTGCTGTTTCTGCCTGGGTCACCCAGATTAGGCCCAGATTGGAGATGTCTCTGGGCTCCAATTTATAAGCTGTGCCTTTTAACCGAATCATCATCCCACTGTGACGCGAACTCCAGCTCATATGAGATGTTCCTCCTCACCTCATTACAATTTTAATCTGCTAACAAGCTTTGGTCCTACAATATAAATCACTTTCAACCTGCGGTTTTGATTCTGGGGGGATCAGAAGAGAGAGTTTGGTCGAGTCCCAAAATGTTTACGCTGCCTGAGGGGTTACATAAGTCCACTGGCAAGACTCTAGAGGAGGCCAGCTGTTGCCGAAACTCAACTTACTCTAAGAGCAGGGTTAGGGAGGGAGTAACAGGGAGTTAGCTAAATTACATACCGTGGAACAGAAGATAGACTTCTAAGCAGAGAGAAGCAGCTAAAAATGATAAGAAGCTTTGTGGTTGCTGGAAGAGATTAGTGGACAAAAAAAATGTAATTCCAGGACACTTAGTACTTTTCTCATTTTCCTCAAACACTGACCGGAGTTGACTTATTGGCGTGTGATCTCATCACACAGAGAATAATACGAGTAGAGGACACGGTAGGGCCCTCGGTAAGCGCTTCTGTCTTATTTGACGTGAGAAGTCGTCCGTATCGAAACAAAACGCACACACACACACACACGCAGTCTGTATATCACAGCTCTTTATCAACTATCCGCACACGGGGGGGATAATATTTTAGGATGTCTGCGTAATTTCTTTTAAAAGCCAGTATGAGACTAAAGCAGACATCCTCTACATTTGCTCATCTGAAAGGAGCTGAGAATGAGAATCACTGACCCTGTTTAAAAGCTTACAACAAATATTGTGAGTTCTTCCCTGTTTTTTTGTTTTGTTTGTTTTGCACGCCGTTGACAGAATTAGGACGGAAAAATATGGCTGAAAGGCTCGTTCGCGTTCTTGAGGTGAAAGGAATTATTAAAAAGGGAAAAAGAGCGGGACGGGTTGATAGATGGAAGGACAAGAGGACAATGTCTCAAGGAGACAGTGAGGGAGCTGTAAAAAAAGACCTTTATGGGAAATAATTCATGAGGTTAACCCTGCCAAAGACAATCCAGTGCTTAAATACAGTTTGTTTGTTTTTTAGAAAACCCCAGCACATGTGTTGTTGGGAGACATCCTGTTGCTTTTAGATTAGTTTTAATTCAATGTCAGAAATTCCTCTGCCCTCAGCGGAGAGCAGAGTCTTATAAGCTGACATCATAGGTGGGTGTTGTATGGAGTTCGGTACTTTTGTGGTGTAAGGGGTTTATTTTGTTCCATTTTCAGCGGCGTCGCTTCTGCCCCATCGGTTTGTGACGGTCCGGCGCGGCAGTCCGGCGGCAAAGAGCGGCCAGATCCGGCCCGGGGATCGCTTAGAGGCTGTGGAGGGACGCCCGGTGGTGACTCTGCCTCACAGGGAGCTTTCTCAGATTCTCCGCCGTGCGGGAAACACTCTTCGCCTGACCATCATCCCCCGCCCCAGCACCTGTAAGTGCAGCCAAATGCAACCAAACACACACAAAAATACACACACACACACATGTCCGGTCTGAACCGTCCTCTCTCTCAGACTCTTCAAACGTCCCAGAGAACGCCGACCATGACCACGGTCACAGAAGCAGAAAGGGTCAGAGGTCACGTCCAAAGGTAAAGGCATTCAGTTCGTTTGCATAATTCACAGCCCGATTATGGGATGTCCTAGAGCGCTGACAGTGAATCATCCTTTTTACCCTCTCTGCCCGCGTTACCCAGCGTGACTCAAGGTATTACAGTGTGGATCTGGATCGGGGCCCGTCGGGCTTTGGCTTTAGCCTCCGGGGGGGGAGCGAGTACAACATGGGCCTTTACGTCCTTGGACTGATGGAAGGGGGGCCCGCCTCACGGAGCCAAAAAATACAGGTAGGCCGTGTGCATTCGTGGGTCATTTATGCACCAAGAGCATCCACGTCTTCTCTGATTGGGCTTCTTTGTTGAATTATTTTCGTTTGGCTCCAGCTGCACCGGAAGCAACAAGAGGGCAGCAGCCCCTCTTTGAAATGAGTCTTTGTAGAGCTCCGAGCACATCTGATGTGGTCTGGGTTGATTAACAGAGCTCAAAATGACCTACTATATACTTCTAAGGACACATTTATTCTGCTCTGCTGCCTAGATGCGTTCAGATGTGTCATCATGTGTTTTTCATGTCAGCTGAGACCCTGAAAACCCTGTGAGAGGACAGGAACAAATTCATCTTAAACATGTTTTTACTTCTCATTATTAGCATTTGAACAAGATTGTATTAGTGCTATAGTAATGTGGTTTGGAGTGAAATGCCCTCTTTTAATTGTTTTCGGTTTGAGAACAAATGGATGAAATCGCAGCTTTTGAAGGGATATTCTGTCCGCAGGTGAGCGATCAGCTTGTGGAGATAAACGGGGACAGTACGGCCGGGATGACCCACAGCCAGGCCGTGGAGCAGATCCGCAGAGGAGGCCACCGCATCCATCTGGTCTTTAAGAGAGGAAATGGCTATGTGCCTGACTACGGTAAGGCAAGGCCAGGGGGATAACGGAATTCCTCAGGTTAAAAACTGAGAATTAAAAACTCTTTTGCTTGCAAGATCTTTGGGATTTTATCTGCCCTTGCCTTCTTTTGTCTGGGACTGGGTCAAACTAACATATGTTCTACATTTCCATTTCTTCTTCTTCTTTTTGCCTGGTGTCTCCTACTTATACCTAATTCCATCTTTCCCACATTAACCCCTTTTTGCTTTAACATTCCCACATTTTCCGCTGCATATTCCCTCATATTCTTTTTTTGGAACACTCCCCTCCACTCCTTTCTTTCCTCTCCTCCTTATCTCTTCGACTCTCAGTGGAACTCTCCAGTTTGTCTCTATGTATGACCAACTCCAAACTAGGCGAGCCTTGCTTCTATGTCATTGGACGGACAGAGAATATGCGGTTGGTAATGGTTCCTGTTAGTTCTCCCATTTTCTGTTTCTCTACAACCGTCTAACCAGCTAAAACGTCAGCTACTAAATTAGCTATGCGAGAATGTTTTACGTAATGTTTCTTGCCTGTTAAGTTTCTTTGAAACTTGCCTCAGAGCAGAATCACAGTCTGTGATAACACATGGTGAATTAAAAGAGAGAAGTGCGTAATTGCACAGTTAGAGAGCAGAGTTATAATCGGCTGTATGTTGTATCACTAATGAAGTTTCCACTGAAATAGATCAGTAGCTGTTGTTAAACAATCTGACCTAATACACTTATGAAAAGGAAAAAAACAACACATTCTTGACTTTAAGTCAGATTACATAATACTCTTTGCCAGAGATGTTGGACTCCCTGTCTCTTGCCTGCATATTCAGTCTGTTTCTCTTCCTCTCTCCTGCCTGCCTAATGTGTGTCCAGGCCGTGAGCACAGAATCACCTCCCCCTCCCTCCTGTATAACCCCAAGGAGCAGGGTTTGGCTGCAGTAAACTCCACCGGATGGAGGGGGCGCAGGTCCAAGCAGAAGAGGAGAAGCAGGTCACATGGAGACGAGAGGGGGAAAGGGACGGACAGGGGAAGGAGACTGCGATCGGAGGGAGGAGAGCCTGCGCGTTTACAAAGTACCGTCTCTGAGCGGGGAGGGCGGTCGCGGGAGGCCAGAGACAGGAGTAGGAGAGATAAAAAAATAAGGTCTCAGAGTTTACCCAGAGATGGCAATGGGAGATACGATGAGAGTGACACGGAGAAGGGGACGGCGAGGGGAAGGAAAAGGGGCAGAGACAGAGGGAGGAGCAGAGAGAGAGGGAGGGGAAGCAGGAGTGAGGAGAGGGACAGGGTCACGGAGGGGGACAGGGCTGAGCCAGAGGAAGAGGAAGAGGTAGAGGAAGAGCGTGAGGCGCCTGCTGCTGTCGAGGAGTGGGTGGAAGGAGTGCTGGAGGAGGGAGGGAATTATGAAGAGAGTGACGATGAAGTTTTCTTACCACTTCCAAGTCCAACCCAAAGGCTTCCCAGACCCAAGGAAGACTGGGAAGAAGAGCCGGGTGCCAACTGGGGGATGGCAGCACAGTACAGGGGATTAGGGAGAGAGATGGGGCGGGAGAATTCACCAGATATTCTCAGGAGTTCAGATAAGGCGACGGAGGATGATGAAGAAGAGGAGGACGGGGCGCGGTCCGTGCTCTCCGTGAGGCCTCTACCAGGTGTTGCTGTGAGCGGGCCGGGGTCAGAGAGCAGGCCCTTCTCCTTCCTGGCCTCCGCGCATTCCGCAGAGCAGCCGGAGGACGACGCGTCGGAGTCTGGAGGCAGCCAATCGGACGGCAGCGTGTCCGCCGCCAGCATCTCAGGCCTCTCTCTGGCTGCCACAGGAGCAGGTGGGCAGAGGGGCCCGGCACTGCCAGGCCCTTGGCTCACGCCCAGCAAGCAGCGGCTGGTTCAGGCTGAAGAGAGAAGCAGGCGGCCCGGGAGGCAGAGCGGACAGGGAAGAGGAGGAAGCGCCGTCTCTTGACTTTTAAATGGGGACTAAGAATGCCGCAGCTGAAAGGCACTGAATCCAATTCTGCGTCACACTGTTAGACCTCCCCTTGTTTTCGGCCGCAAACCCGCTCCGCCATCTTTTTTCTCCGAGTCTCTCTGATGTGTAAGGTAGAAGTTATATTCTTTGTGCCTTTTTGCAGCTGAGTTCCGGCTGGATATCAAATCGCATTTCAACTCGTTACCGACACCTCCCTCCCTCCCTCCCTCCCAGCCACTCATGCTCTCCCCGTCCGGCACTTCATTATTCCTTCAACTATCAGCTTCCATGTGATGATTCAGACTATTTGAGCCAAGCGTCCTCTGTCCAGTTCTGCCTGTATAGACCTATACCTCATGGCAACACTGAGCAATAATAATGCAACTGTCCAAGACTATCAGCCATCCACATCCACTGCACTATGCCGATCTGGTCTGAATGGAGTCAGTGTAACATGTTTGTACAGCATCGTCTTCGTCTTACAGTCTGTGGACACTTGCCTCAACTTGTTATGCTGTTCCATGTATGTGGGTAATTGATTGTGATAAATCAAATCCCTTTCGGAAGCAGGTGTAAAATCTATATTCTGTAAATATCTGTAGAGACTTAAGTGACAGAGTATATTGTAAATACTGTACTCCGATTTGTATAACTATAGTGTAAAATGTAATAAGTCTAAATATTTGAATATATGCAGTATATCTATACACACACGCACGTATATATATATATATATATATATATATATATATATAGAGAGAGAGA